GTTTGCAAGATGGTCCATATTTTAGTGCAACTTTTTGTTTAAATAGATATTGAATGCAGCTAAGTGCCATTGCAGTAGCTACTATAGAAATTTCTAAAACATACAATTCTTTCAATAGAACATCCATGTGTGCCTGGGTGGCTTGTTCGTACCTGAGGCTTATATTACTGCTACAAGACAATATGTGGCTCAAGCAAACAGCTGGTCCCTGGAAGAACTTTGTCTAGAAGTCAATGTTACAACTACTCAGAATGCAGTCCTGGATGCTTGCAGTTTTGGAGTTACAGGTTAGCTGATGTGCTTTTTACAAGGTGGAAGGGAAGGAAATAGGTGCTATTAGCCCTTAACGCTGGGTATTTATCTTTTGTAAAAATGCTGGTACAGACCATATCAGATACATAACACCGAGGGGAGTTAACAAGCACAGTGAAAGTTTGATTGCAGTTGCACGAGAAGTAGCATTGGAAGTCAATTTCTGTGGGGGATTCTGCATTATTTAAAAACACGTTAATGGAAAACTTTGCTATGCTAGTGCATAGGGGTTGAGAATCCTTATGAATGAACATTGTCAGGAGTAGTGCAATATGGATAAATGCAAATAACTAACAGTCAATATGTTAGAGGTAGCGCTCTGGTGGCTTTTTTATTCCTCTAGTAGCCTTCACTGTTACCTTTTCTGGGGTATTTTTTCATTTATAAATTAGGTCTTCCATTTTAACAGTAGGTCTAAATATCAATTACGACATTTTAGATGGGTGAATCTACCTCTGGACTTGAAAATGGAGTGGAAAAGGAAACTTCCTTTAAATGTGCATACACTTCACTTTCAGGAAAGACCTCACATTTTCATACTTCTTAACTCATAGGTTTGAAGCTTCAGGGAGCTACATGCAGTAACAATAAACTGTCCCTTTCAAATGCTATATCAACTATATTGCCCATAACACAGCTTCGCTGGATCAAGCAGACAAATGCAGATAAAAAGGCTAATGTGGTAAGTAATGTGGAGACCATATGTTTTGTCATTCTGTGACTTCTTTCAGTAGTGGCTCATCAGCTTTAAATTCTACTTTCTCTGGTGCCCTGGAATAAAAATGGGGAAATACCTGCTTCCATTTCATTAGTCTTACATTTTGCGGTACCACAGATGTTCCTTTCCAATATGAGTTTTCAACCTGGGGGTTACAATTCCTAGGAGTCTGACAAACAGATCCAGTATTGCTACCACCCTTTCTTTGTGGCTAGCTGGGGGGTACCAAGAAATGTAAACTCATGAAGCATTGGGTCCTGAGAAGTCTGAACAACACCTTAGAAATGTATTATAAAAAGTACACTTTAGCCTGGCAGGCTGGGTGTTCTTTCTTAGGAGTACAATTGATCTTGGTTGGGGAAGGATGGGCAAAGTTCAATATGGAATGCCTCTTCATAATTTCCAGTGGTGGGGACCTTTGCTGTCTTCCCTTTGACTTTTATCTTGCATTCATCTGTCTTATCCACATTTTAATAAATGCCTAACTTCTTTTCCAGGTTACATTACCAGTTTATCTGAACTTCACCCGTGCTGATCTGATCTTCACTGTTGACTTTGAAATAGCCACCAAGGAAGATCCTCGCAGTTTCTATGAACGTGGTGTTGCAGTCCTCTGCACAGAGTAACAAAATAACGTTTTCTAACTGATAAATAGTAGTAAAATTCAGTGTCTTTAATCTAGTCCACAGTGTTAGTTTTAACCTCCAGGGCATGGTTAAGTTGTCAGATGGATTGGTGTAAAGTTGACTTGCTAGAGGCTGGGCTTCTTGCCAGGGTTTCTGGTGATACTGATGGTTTTGAGGGAGAATTGGATGTGGTTTTTAGATGGCTCTAGTTACATATGGTAATGTTTGATGGCTCCTCCTACATTCAATAAATTCTGTAGTATGATTTGTGGTTCTTTATTTCATTTCTAAAAGCATTGTTCTTGCCATGACTTGCTCTAGAGAATTACTTCCATTAATACTTTTAAATGTTCAAGGAATGGAGAATGATGGTGAAGCATTACCCAGGTCTTCAATAATGAATGATGCTAACTTACTAAGAAACCAGTTTTACCATTTGTGGTACTTAACTTGCAGATCTCCTATATAAATCACTTGTAACCAGAAACAAGAAAAGCCAAAATTAATTCAGTGGAACAAGTTGAAATTGAGCAAACACTGGTTTTAAAAAGGAACGCAAGGGAGAGGTTATGCCAATATTACTATTACACAGGCGTGATGAACTGCACACATTGCTTAATCTACATGGTATAGATATGAACCACCTGCATACTTAAGTGAGAACTACCCTGTACACAGAATGCTAACTTTCAGAACAGTTTCATCACTTCCAGTGATACAATAACCAGCACAGTGGACATGTGTGAGGAAGTAACTTTGCATTAATATCAACATGTCTGCAGACCCTTGAATTTGGATCCACTTGGGATTTTTTTTGAATGGGTATTATTTCCACCTCTGAGAGCGGCATCATTGACATAAACTAATAGCCCTACCAAACTTCTTATGGCAAATACCTTGAGGTGTCTCTCTTCTGATAGCATATGCTAAAGATAGTGGTTTTATTCTGTTCATTCCTTAAAGGGACACTTTAAAGCTGGCAGACCCAAAAATCTGACCCACCCAACCAAATAGCTTTTGGTTACACAGTAGTTGCTAACATTTAAAACTCTGCTGCTCTCAAAATACATCTTTACTAGATTTTTACTTGTTTGGCTCCTTTATCTTCAGAAATTTCTAGGGCAGCAAAACAACCTGCAATTTCTGAATACTGTCTCACTTGATCGCTGTTCCTCATGCACAGAATCTGCCATTCTCTGCCTCTGAGGAGCTTTTTGTGGGATGTGAGTTCTGAACATGGATGTTGCCTCTAACATTCCTTCCAGGGAAGTACATGACTTCCTTGTGCCCTAAAGCTTACGAGAAGGCCCCTAAGCCTTCTAAAAGCCTCATCAAATGAGACTGGTATTTGGACGGCAGAATGTTGCCACATGGAGTATCCGTCTAAACTTCCTGTAGTCTTCAGGTAATTTGAATATCATATGCATAACAAAATTTGCATTAGTAATTAAAGAGCTTTACTGTTCTGTATTCCCATTTGGCATTTGAGATCTCTGAACTCCTGTACACAGGGAAACACAGGTCTTGGATGGGCTGATCATGTGGCTGTAAGAACTCAATGAGCCATGCTTACACAGAGGTACATATGCAGGAGTATACTTGGGGGATAAAAGCACAACCTGCACTGTATTGGGAAATGGTACCTCTTAGACTGATGGCACCACATGGCTTGTGACCTGTGTGCCAACTCTGGCAACAGTACAAGTAGCCTGTCATTGACCAGCAGCCTAATTGTTGGAGTGCAGGGTGTCTTTCATTGGGAGGGTGGGTAGTATCCACTTTTGGTGGAGCCTCACTAAGATTCTTATGTGAGGACCCTGAGCCCTGCTGCCTTGAGGGAGGAATGAAGAAAGTGCAACTTTCTCCAGAGTGCCAGACTTAGAAAAAATTACAGGGGGAATTGTGCTGAAACCCCTTTTACAATTCAGTTGATGAGCACTGCTTTAGAGATTCTAGAGCTCCCATGAAAAAAGGCTTTAAGAGCTAGGTTCCGTCAGTAGTCTCTCAGCTTCCACTAAAATAGCTGAGTTGTGCATTCACACCTGCCATGATATAGACCCCTAAACTACATGTTAAAGATGCTGTAGTATACTTAAACTGATCCTTGCTGTCAGTTAAATGTAGGCCTTGTATAGATAACTTATGAGTTTCAGACCACTTGACAATATATTAAAGGCTATCCACGAATATTTATTTAGGGTGGTGCTACAGGCAGTGAAATGGAAAATAATTTAAACTGTGAGGAAAAGCTTCACCCTGAAATATATAGTCTCATGCAGCTGTTGAAGTAAATCAAAGGTAAGCCCTTTGACACAATTATGGAAGGAGATGGAAGGAGACTGGGTTACTTCCCTTCCCTGATTGACACATCTGGGCTTGCATGTGTCAAATGACCCTAAAAGTGAGGACTATAACTCTTTTCACTCATTGTTATCTATGTTACATGCACTTAATAATCAGCAGTAAAAAGCTGAAAGATGTTTAATGCCAGCCTTGAGGGGTCATGAACAGAGCTACTGGTCTCCTGAGCCCATTTCTATTCTACATGGCTAGATGGGGATACTGAATTTTTTCTGTTTAACATGGGGCTAGGATTTGGTAGAGGTAGATACTGATCTATGCTATGAGGAATCCTCCAGCATTTTAAGCTTAAATAGTGTTCACCACACACTTTGGGGGTTTTCAGACATTGTGCCCCAGCTTTGGCCTTTGGTAGGTTGAAAGGGTGGACCTTGAGGTCCAGATTTCAAGAGTGTTTATTCACTGTCTCCAGTAGCAACTTTCAGCTTACTAGCAGTTGTAGAAATAAATCCCAGCGAGCTAGACATAGAAGGTCTTTTTCCACCTCTAATTTGTCTAAGATGAAATCTAGAGAGCAAAAAACAAAACAAAAGAAGTGTCCAAAAAGTTTTTACAGAAGAACTGAAAAATATTGAGGAATTTAGAAAAAAATTTATGTAGCACTGACTAAAGAACAAGGCTTATGCTGCTCTGGAGATACTCCATAGATGTAGTGGGAGGCACTAATCCTAGTGCCAGTTTCACGATCTGGAGGATAGCGTAGATTGCACCCTCAGCAAGTTTGCAGATGACACTGGGAGGAGTGGTAGATAGGCTGGAGGGTAGGGATAGGATACAGAGGGACCTAGACACAAAGGTTCTAACTGATGATGTTTAATAGAACACTTGATGTAGGTTTATTTTACATGTTTCACTTGCCACACTCCCCCCCCCCCCCATCTCCACCTTGAGAACATACAGTTAATAAGGAAGAGCAATAAAGTTCAGGCTTGGTTTAAAGTAGTTTATTTCAATTGTACTAAAAAACAGGTTATATACTGGGATAGTAGATTTGAAAAAAAGTTTAAACAAACATCCCTGTAGCTCTGGGTGGTGCTGCAACAAAATACCCTTCTCTCACTCTTCCTGCTACTAGGTAAATCCCACACATCTACATTTGTTCAGTAGGAGACAGTTTTACTAGTGCTGAGCAACGGGGCTCCATGGAGCCCTTTCTCCTTCTCTAGATTACTCCCCCCAGAATCTACCCCATACCATATGGAAGGGAAGACAAAAAGAGGTAACCATGCGAATTAAAATGGTTATTTATTCTCCTGGACCTGATCACTATTTAACAGCAGGTTTGAGAAAGAAAAATCATTCTCCTAAAAGGAAAAATAAAAACCCCTCATTGTAGAAGAACTTCAACTGTTGGGTATTTACATTATAAACCCACGTTGGCATGCACAGTACTGGAGAGAAGGTTAAAGAAACAGGCTCTGTTAGAGTTCATTATCAACACCAAATAAAAGGGAAAGTCAGTTTGACCCTGCAAAATGAAAGTTGATGAGGATTATCTGCTCCCCCAAACTTCTGGTTTGTGTGATTTGAGTCATTTTGGCAGTTATCCAAGGCTGAACCTGCAAGTGACCATTCACGATGGGAACAAAGCAGCTGCAGGAAGCAGGAACAGGCCTCACTGAAGATGGCGCACTCACTGTGAAGGTGAAACAATATGATGAGTGCTACTTATTCTGCATTTACAGAATTAACAACCCTACAGTTTAGTTATTTGTGATGCTATGCATTTCTCCAACCACCATGTCATGAGAAGGCCTGACCCCTGCAGCAGTAGGATAGGCATTGTATACAATGCTAAGGCATAGAATCCATTGTCGCTTATTGCTTAAAGAAATGGATAATTACTTGGCCACAGGTACAGGAGTTGGGTTGCTGGGGAAGAACAGGACTGAAGGCAGAGTACTGTATGCTGAAAGGGATCACGTTTGATCACAATGACTGGTACAGCTCTATATTAGCTCCAATTCCCCTACATAAGCATTAATGTTCTGTAGGGTACTGCTAGTCCTAGTTGACATTTTGAGTCTTCTCTCTCATTTACTATAATATACATTTAAACAGACGGAATTCCAGATCATAAATTAGCCTATATGTACCTTAGATTAGGTTGAACGCAATTTCTTTCTTCTTAGCTTTTCACCAACACCCTCTAGAAATGGAAGCCCTAGTTTTCTCTTGATTATTGATTGGTCACACATTGTATTTTCACCATCAGACTTTGCTAACATGGGTTGTTGCAGAGTAGTGGTGACTGGGCTTTCTAGGACTCCGGCATATTTTGAAGGCTCAACACTCATGAGTAAGGAACAGTCAGATGTCAGCCACATTGCAGAGGCAAGTACTCCAGAGGTTCTGGACCGTTCACATGGCCTGGCAAGTCTTATTGGAACATCACTTTTCTCTTTAGTGATAACTTCCATCTGTATTTTAAGGTCATTTACTGGCTGCATATAGACATCACAGATTTCTGTTTTTGGGGAGACCCAATTTGAAGACATATGTAGGGACTCTGTGTTTTCAGAAGAGTAAAGGTCTTCCACCATCTCTGGCAAATTGTGCACCAAAGGTGCACCTCGGTTATAGTTTATATCATTAAGAGAATTCAAACTACAGTCTGAGTGGGTTGATGCATCTTCTGAATCACCATCATATGGATCTAAAAACTAAAACAAATAGGTCTAAATAAAGCAGATCACTAGGTTATCCACTGTACCGTTCTTGACATTTCTCTGGAAAAAAAAGTTTGGTAACCATCCAGTTTCCCCACAACCTTTCATGGCAATACTAAGAGATCACACTGGAAAAACATAAGCAACAGCATCATTTAGAATCAACACATCCACCCACTCCACAACCTGAACAAATGTTTATTTTTAAGGAAATTTAAACAAGGCTGCTACATAATGAAATGGCAGAAGTGTATAAACCTACCTGAAGTAGCGTGTCCCTTGCTTTCTTGAAGACTCCTTCAGTAAGTGTGCTAGGCAGGCCCTGTTTAAAGAAGTATTCCCATCAGACATATGTATTTACAAATGGTCTCATACATGGTTGCCACAAGTTCTTTCTGGACGTTTTTATGTAGAGAGCAGAGATGTTTTTCTTGTTTTAACTAGCATTGGACATCTCTTGGAATTCAGTTTAAGTGCTCTAAAAATTTCTGCAAGAGTCTAATCAGACACAAGAAAGTAAAGTACCATTTAAAAAAAACAACCTTTTATCTAAGCCACTAACTGTGGGTGTTTGTACTGTATTTTTTTATTGTACAGAATATATTTGAGGGAATGAAGTGGAGAAATGTATTTTATAGCCCTGAAACTTACCTAAGAGAAGCTAGAAACTATACATTCTCTTTCCTTTTATCTCCCTTGTGAGCTGCTCCATAACATTAAATACTGCTGCCACCTAGGAGTTGATATTTTTGTTGAAGTCAGATCAGTTAAATCAAGTCCTAACAATCATTTCAGTGATAAGCAAGTTGCATCTCTATCTCCTGTGTGCATAATATGAACTTGTGCAGATCCAAGGAAACCATTAGGTATGTTCCTGAGGAAAGTCTGTTTGTAAAACTGATTTTTCTCCAGTGGTGTTTATAGTGCTCTGTCATTTTAAAAACTAATACTGTCAGCAGCAATTGTATTTCACAGGTAAGCCTATACACCCTAGACAATCTTCAGTCTCTCCTGGGTCTAATTCTGTCAGTCACTACTGCAGACTAGACTCCACTGAGGAGCTGTCACTATTACTCTTCTTTCTCAGCAGCTCAAACAGACAAGCCTTCGTCTGCAAAGCATTAGTACCTGTTAGTCTCTATGGAAGAAACCCACCACAGAAAGTCATGAGAAGAACATAAGAATGGCCATATGGGTTAGACCAAAGGTCCATCTAGCCCAGTATCCTGTCTTCTGACAGTGGCCAATGCCAGGTGCCGCAGAAGGAATGAACAGAACAGGTAATCATCAAGTGATCCATCCCCTGTCGCCCGTTCCCAGCTTCTGGCAAACAGGCTAGAGACACCATCCCTTCCCATCCTGGCTAATAGCCATTGATGGACCTATCCTCCATGAATTTATCTAGTTCTTTTTTGAACCCTGTTATAGTCTTTGCCTTCACAACATCCTCTGGCAAGGCGTTCCATAGGTTGACTGTGCGTTGTGTGAAAATATGCTTCCTTTTGTTTGTTTTAAGCCTGCTGCCTATTAATTTCATTTGGTAGCCCCTAGTTCTTGTGTTATAAGAAGGAGTAAACAACACTTCCTTATTTACTTTCTCCACCCCAGTCATGATTTTATAGACCTCTAACATATTCCCCCATTAGTCATCTCTTTTCCAAGCTGAAAACTCCCAGTCATTAATCTCCTCACACAGCAGCCCTTCCATACCCCTAATCATTTTTGTTGCCCTTCTCTGAATTTTTCCAAGTCCAATATATATTTTTTTTTAGATGGAGCGACCACAGTTGCATGCAGTATTGAAGATGTGGGAGTACCATGGATTTATATAGAGGCAATATCATATTTTCTGTCTTATCTATCCCTTTCTTAATGATTCCCAATATTCTGTTTGCCTTTTTGACTGCCGCTGCACATTGAGTGGATGTTTTCAGAGAAGTCTCTTCTAAAGTCCAACCTATTTAGGCCTGGAGAGGAGTTCAGACCTTTCAAACCCTATTCTGAAAAATTTTACCTCAGAAAATTCCTATCAAAGTCTGTTTGTGACTTTTAGCTGGATTTTGGCACCAACAAGTCTTGTTTTGATTTGGGGCCTCTGAGGAGGTACTGGAAAAAAAAAAAGGTGGGGAAACATAGGAATATCAAAGAGGAAATACACTTTCTGTTCCAATGAAGGTGTGCAAATCCTCTTAAGTGGGCAACCATGTCTGCCTCAGCCATCCCTATCATCATCCATGGCCCAAACCGTGGGCTTCTGTGGTTCTCAATGGAAGCGGTCACAGATGGCTGCATAGAAGAGGAGCTTTTGTATCTTCTGCTCTCAAAGAGAGAAGTCATCTACCTCTGGTCAGATTCCTGGTAGAACTCACTTCTGCTTCCTCCCAGTCTCTCCTCTCAGCAACCCTCCACAGAGCATGGGGAAGAGGTGACAGACTGCAGCAAGACACCTACTACATCCCTAGACAACAGAGTGGGCAATATTTACCTGGTGGACCTTTACAGTTAGATTCTGGAGTTGTATACCCACAGATAAATATTCACACCATCACAACACAGGGTTTACTGTTTTCTTTGTTGTACCCAACATGGTAGTAGATGGAAACGTTCTTTGCTGAATGACAGCCATTTGGGGCAACTCTTGCAGCAAGTAGGAAAGTCAAATCCACTCTCTCCTGCACTCTATTGATGACAGAATATGCATCGAAAGCATATAATGCAAGAATTATCTGCAGGAAATCTACAACATGCTGGAGCCCAGTTGCACAAGAGTTGAGCTATTAAGGGAAAAAACAAACAGTCACCTCCTCAGAGACAACCCAGTTCAGCTGTAAGTACCTTTTAACAGAGAAACTCTAGTACTACATTCAGCTCCCCAAACATTCGTTGTTGTCAATACCAAACCTCCCTCCCCAAGTCAGCCATTCCAGGAAAAAAAAAAAAAAAAAAAAAACACACACCCACCATAGGATGATCTGAAGGGAAGACAATGGTGGCTGTGAAGAAAGCCTTCTCTCCCCTACAGAGTCTGCAGGAGGGTGGGTAGGGAAGGAGCACAGCCAACATGCTGAGAGAGAGAGTCCCCTGACATTGTTTCGTATAGTCAGAGAGGAGAATCCCAGCCCCCAGGGATCAAACAGCAAAAGAAATTACCTCATTATTGGATTCAGATTCTGACTCTGTACTGGACTCCACCGTGCATTTTCGCTGTAGAGAAGGGGGGAGGGGAGACAACCAGATGTTTGTAAATATAAAACAGCACAGGGCTTATTTTGAAGTCATAGTAAATAGGACACATTCTCTAATATACTTAGGAAGTTTGCTGATGCTGTATTTTTCTAAACTTCCATTACACAAAGCTAACTTGTCTGAAAAACCTCAAATTTTGAGGGGGTGGGGGGGAAATCTGTGCTGACCTAAGAAATTTCAGGTCAAGGGGATTTTTTTTTTTTTAAGTTGTAGCAGAAAGAGTGGTTCAGAGTTATGCCTGCAACAGAAACAGCACTTTCAGCTTTGTTAACTTGATTTTTCTTTGGCCATTATTTTAAATTGCATCCAAGTTATAGATGTAGTTTAGCTATTTATAACACCCCCAGCCACAGCTTTTCCAAAGGATACAGTGTGTCTGCTGTATTTACTCAAAACTACCAAAAAAAAAAAGTTTTTCATGCTGCAGATGGTAACAGAAGTTAAATCAGAAGCAGTTTCCTCCCATCCTCATTTCTTTGCAGGTGAATCAGTTTGTGTCAATTTACCAACACAGACAATTAGCCACACATGCTCATTAGGCAGCATTTTTCCAATTTAGCTGTTTAGTCTGAAATCTTAGGCTAGAGAATCACACATGTTTCGGAAAGGCCAATAACTTAAAGAGAAATTTTACCATGTATTTGTGTGCTAGTCTCTCTACGTAGTCTGAACTTTTATCAGAATCCATCAGATCACAGGAGTCTACCACAAAGGAGGGAAAGACCAGCTGTGTTAGAAGAGCATTTCTAATAGAGGATACCCAGACATGGCAACTCCCCTAATACTAGAAACACATCTACCAACCATGTTAACAATTGCATTTTAAGTTAAATATTTAATAAAGTTTGGCTTTTACAGCTTAAAAGCAGTGACCATCCACAAATCTCAAACCCTCATATCTTACCAAGAGGATAGCTCAAGGAAAAAAATTAGGACATTCAATATTTAATCATCCTGTTATGAGAAAGAAAAGACACAGAGACTGTCATTTTGGGCACAACATGGTTTTTAAGCATTGTATGTCACTGGAAGGTGGAGAAAAACTTGCATTAACCCAGGGAGCCAGATAAGACAGAAGGCATTTCTCTTCCCCAAGTGAACTCTTCAGTCAGGCTCAAGTAAAGCCATGTTTTGAATTAGTTGTAACTCTCATATTTTCAGCCCACTCTAGCTTGTGAATGTGAGGTATTGCACTTTTATAGGACATTTCTAGCACACTAGCAGGAAATGCAAGCAAGGAATCATTTTTGTATAAAACTGCAATAAACTAATTAATATTTACTAGTACCACTGCCCTCTCTAGTAGACAGAATAAACTGCTTGGATGTATGTCCTGTTAACAGCAATACAAACATGCCTTTAAGGAAAGGGGGGTGTTAGAGAAGCTGCATTGTTCTGTCTCTATCCCCACTATCACTATAACTCCATTTTCCAGGATCATCCTAACCCCATCCATACCTGCTCTGGGTTGTCCACCCCAGCACTTCTTCCTTCTCCTTTGCCTTTTCTTCACTGAAGCCATTCTACTCCAAGCAGCCTCAACCTACTCCTGCTTTATAGGCATGACTTCCCCTCCCACTTCTGCCATGCCCCTCCCCTCCCTAATGCTTGCAGCTACTTTCCCCCACCACCCTTAAATTCCATAAACAAATTTTCATGAGAATTTTTCAGGAAACAAGCAGTGATTTGATCCTGAAAGAGAGAGCCATCTCCTTTACCATTCCTCCTGTGTATCACAGCTTTCCTCTACCTCTCCACCAGTTTCCATACACAAAGAGGAACTGCGAAACAGCTGATCATGGTGGGTGGGAGGCACTGGGAAGGAGGGGGAGGTGCTGATTGGCAGGACCCACCAGCAGGGGGGAGGCGGGAGCTGATAGCGGGGCTAGGGTGACCAGATGTTCCGATTTTATAGGGACAGTCCTGATATTTGGGGCTTTTTCTTATATAGGCTCCTATTACCCCCCACCCCCATCCTGATTTTTCACACTTGCCCTCTGGTCACCCTAAGGGGGACTGCCAGTGGGTGCTCAGCACCCACCCTTCCCCCCCATGACTGCTGCAGCCCTGGAGCACCCACGGAGTGGGCACCTATGCCATCTTTCCCTGGTTCATAGATCACTCAGGGACTTAGGTGGGAGACAGGCATCTAGTCACCTAGCAGGAGGCACCAGACGCAGAAACACAGGCATCTGGGGAACTTTTACTCTAGAAAATGTAGGCACCTACAGGGTTGGGCAGGAGTTCTGTAGATCACAGTGAACCCCAAATGGGACAGGGGTGCTTCAGTACTTTCCTGGATCCCACCCTCTGTACTCATCAGCTGACTTTGCTTTTGAAAATGGCTGCTGCTGAAAGCAATTCACTAGGAATTTAAAGGGGAAGCTCACAGAAAAAGAATACCACAGTCACATAGCTATGTACACCATGCCACTTTTCTAATTCCTTGAACTCATTTCTTCTTTTCTTCCTTCTACCCAGTGCCCCCTGCACTTTCCTGTTCCCTTTTCCAACTGACCTCCAGCTACCTTCTGCTCTTCTCACTGTCTCTATCTCTCTTCTTCCCCCTATACCTTTCTTTTCTGTCTCCATTTTCTCTTTCCCCTTCTGCAATAGTTAGGGATTGGATTGATGGTGCTTTTGCACCTCTGAATTCTCTGACTACTTTCACAAGAACATAGAGATCAGTGAGATGGTAGAAGCAATAACAAGGATGGAGCAGCTAGCGAGCAGCCTTCACAGGACTTACTTACACACCCAAATTTGGCTCAAGGCTGGGATATGGGAGCTAAACCATGCCCTGGTAAGTGCTTTGACCTACAGCTGATTTCAGTAAGTTTGTAATTACAACTATTCTTCTTTCAGTCATGCAGCTCTATGTGAAAATGTTTATCTGAATCTCACAAGATCTGTCTACAGTAGGTAGCTAATCTATTGTGAAAATAGTTGTCAGCAACTGGTCCGTGTAAACTGGTTCTTAAAAAAGTCCTAATTGCAAGTGTAGAGGGGTCAAAACTGAAATAAAGTGGGGTTGCGTCATGGCAGAAGTAGAGCAGAACAGGATTTTGTTTTGCCTACTAAGCAGAAAGAAGGGCTAGCAGGGATATACAGGCACAGAAACACTTTGTATAGCTGCACCGAAAATTATGATAGTAATAAGATTGAAACAATCACTTACTGTCACTCCTGGTGGTTCCTTATCTTCCTTGGGACTGGGAAGGACTGTCCTCTCCATACAGAGCTCTGTCAACCATGATTGGCCCTGGTACTCTCTGCTTTTCCAACAGCCTAGCCAGTAAAGTCTGCCAGTCACATTGAACAAACCAGTTACCTCCCCATATTTCCGCGAGTGGTCTGACAGATGGGAAGTGCAAGGAACAGCTCTCCCAGTGGTCCAGTTTGGAACTACAACTTCCATTGCACCTTTCTGTTTGAACACCACACACATGGATCATCACACTCTGCTTACTGGAAATATGGCACAGCTGTGCCTCAGCTGTAGAGTATCCCTTGGTTTGATGGAATAGTATCTGGCACATTAAACATACAGGCTATTTGTATGATGTTAGTCTGCCTACTATGAAAGGCAAGCAGTGGGGAAGACAATGTATGCAGCTGTAGGAAATTAACTTTATCTGTGCTGTTGCACCAAGTTGCAGCTCTAGAACTGGCTGGAGGGCAGAGTTCAAGACTTGAGAGGTAGGAGTTAACAGAATTGCAGCTGAGACTGACTCTAGACTGTACGTTTTTCAGGAAGGACCATGTCTCCCTCCATGTCTATACCAAGGCAGTGGGACCCTGGTCCCAATTGAAGCCTTTCAGAGTGGGTTTGAACAGCAACTTGTAATGTTACATTGTGCTTACTTGAGACCTTGGTTTGTTGTTGTTGCCTTGTTTGTTTTGCTGAGCCAATTAAAATCATTTAGTTTTACTGAAGGAGCATGTTTTGGCTTAATTAGTACCTGGAGACATAACAATGAACAAGACTTCCAACTCACTATCTGTTTGGGAGGCAAGGGGCTCAAAGACAGCTTGCTTCCACTCCACCCACACAAAAAAAAAAAAAGAAGAAGAATTCTTAAGGTGCAACATGATGTTAAAAGTTTAGTACTTCTTACACAACTCATCAACCATTGGCTGGAGGTAACCAGGTTTGGGGTCTATAGCAGGCCACGAAGAAGTGGTCAAGGAAGGATTCATCTAGCTGGAGAGAATTCAAAGAGCTGGGAGATGTACTTTATTATAAAGAAAACAGAACATGTTTCTGTCTTCAAGTTAGGCCTAAGCATTACTAGACTTTCTTTAGCCACAGTCCCGCACATAAAATCCAGACTACTTCAATGACACCAGCAGCAACTTCTAAAGCTCCTTTCTCGCTTTCCTCTCAGGTCAGGTCATGTATACTGTGTATGCTGGAAAATTAACTTTTCACAGCTGCTATCCTGCTGTGGTCCTTCTGCTAAGAAGGTTAACTGTTTCCCCATCAGCCTACAGACAGCATGTGTGTATGCTCCATCATAGGGCCCCTCACAGATGGACTGGAGCTAAAAGAGACTTGTCTACTGGTTCACATAGCAGGGCTGGCACTGACTTGCTCCTCTCAGTCCCCCGGTGTAGTGCTGAATACCATTATTTCTTGTGCTCATCAGGTATTAGGAATCTTTATACATCTGCCATTCATCATCATGGCACTTTTTAAAAAATTGTAAAATGGGTCTATACTGCAGTAAAAGTATAGTAAGTGCACAATGAGGCACAATAAGACAACGTAATGCATCACAATTATCTGAATTCATTGGAAACAGATGTAACATACACAAGCCCAGACCAGCTCAAGCATGGAGGAGTCAGACAGGTTAGTAATTTGGACCTGACCACTAAACTGTGTGTGTGTCATACAAAGACAAAGTCCTAATATAAACAAAGCTGACTTTTAAAATATAAACTATGACACAACTGCAGCCACCTTTCCAGATGCCATGGGGTGACCTTGGGCACATCACTGCTGTGTGCTGGTAAATCAGCTTCTGCAGAAAGTACAGACTTTTTGCTTAAAAAACCATTAGTGGAATTGCTTGTGGTAGTAGCTACAAGCATAATGGCTTTGAAGAGGAAGTTTTAGATAACTGATGTTTCTTCAAAAGTTACTTGGTTAAAAGTCCAATATAAATACAACTAGCCTTCACTAGTTCAGGTGGCCTTCACTTCTCCACAGTGGAGGCCTCTTACCCAACATAAAGCCTCATATCAGAAATTAATATAATTTGTGTAAATTGTTGGTCTGGACTCTTTTGGTGACCTACTAGAGAAAAATTGCATTTCAAATCTGGGAGGTTTTGCTCCTGCAGTCAGTGACGCATAATAAATGTCTTACCAAGTGTCAAGATTCAAGGTGTATGGGAAAGGTGCAAGTTGTGCCAGTCCCCTCATTACAAGAAGCTGTACATTAGACTGTGTACAATGTTACTGTAACTATATAAACAAATGGGAATTTTGGCAACCCTTTGGGGCATGCTAATAAAGATACCTTTTGCTCGACATGCACTCAGATAAAATGGTGGTGTGTGGAAGCTAGAAGCCAGAATAGACAAAGACCAAAGGGCTCCCTACTCATACTATGTAACGGAAATGTCTCCATCTATATGCATGGTGTATAGGGTGACGAGATGGCAAGTGTAAAAAATCAGGATGGGAGTGGGGGGTAACAGGAGCTTATATAAGAAAAATCGGGACTGTCCCTATAAAATCAGGACATTTGGTCACCCTAATGGTGTAGGAAATTCTTCAGAATATGCGACTTCTTACTAAATCCACCCAGATTGTGAACAAAGAGATACAGTGAATAAGCGACCATGATAGAGTTTGCAGTTGTTTTAGTTAAGAGTAATATGTTTTCTTATTGACTTGTTGCTAAACATATGAAGAAAATATATCTACTGTAAGGGGGGCAGTGTGGCCTTGTGAAGAGCATGCTGGACAGGGGTTCAGGAGACCTGGGTTCCACCTCAGCCACTGGGTGGTGCTGGGCACATCGCTGCTCTATGCCTCAGTTTCCCCATCTGTAAAATGGGGGTGACAATACCTCTTTTGTAAAGCACTTCCAGATCAACTGATGGAAAGCACTATATAAGAACTAGATATCATTATGGTGGCTAATATGACAGTTGATTATTCAAAAAACAACACAAGGTTAGGCCTAAGATGAGAAATGCAAATTTTAAACCCCCTCACTACTACGCATGACCAAGAGCCAGATTTTTAAAAGTAGTTAGATCCCTAACTCCTGAGTTAGGGACCTAAATATCTTTTAAAATCTGGCCCCACGTGATATGGAGAGCCTTTTCTTTGCCACTGTAAAAGAAAACTCACTCAGCTTCCTCTCTATTCTATGGACATGGAAGAAGTAGTCTTTTGTGGTAGAAATCAGTTCTAAGGAGTCTAGGTTGCACATGCCACAAATCCTCCCTATATTACAGGAAAGGTGGAGAAAAGGAAAATGAGCAAAGATAATCAGTTAAGACTCAAAAAGAAAAGGAGTACTTGTGGCACCTTAGAGACTAACCAATTTATTTGAGCATAAGCTTTCGTGAGCTACAGATCACTTCATCGGATGCATAAAATGGAAAATACAGTGAGGAGATTTATATACCACACTATCAGAGGCTCGTTCACCTGCACATCTACCAATGTGATATATGCCATCATGTGCCAGTAATACCCCTCTGCCATGTACATTGGTCAAACTGGACAGTCTCTACGTAAAAGAATAAATGGACACAAATCAGATGTGAAGAATTATAACATTCATAAACCAGTCGGAGAACACTTCAATCTCTCTGGTCACTCGATTTCTGATCTAAAAGTGACTATTCTTCGACAAAAAAACTTCGAAAACAGACTCCAAAGAGAGATTGCTGAATTGGAATTAATTTGCAAATTGGACACAATTAACTTAGGCTTGAATAGAGACTGGGAGTGGTTGAGTCATTATACAAAGTAAAACTATTTCCCCTTGTTTATTCCCCCCCCACTGTTCCTCAGGCATTCTTGATTACTCCTGGAAATGTGCTGGAAATGGCCCACCTTGATTATCACTTGAAAAGGTTTTCTCTCCCCCCACCCCACTCTCCTGCTGGTAATAGCTCAATTTAAGTGATCACTCTCCTTACAGTGTATATGATAAACACCCATTTTTTCATGGTCTGTGTGTATATAAATCTCCTCACTGTATTTTCCACTTTATGCATCCGATGAAGTGAGCTGTAGCTCACAAAAGCTTATGCTCAAATAAATTTGTTAGTCTCTAAGGTGCCACAAGTACCCCTTTTCTTTTTGCGAATACAGACTAACTCGGCTGCTACTCTGAAACCAGTTAAGACTCAGTTTTCTTCTGTTTAGTGGGAGGCAGTATGAGCCAGTGGATAGGGCACTAGACTAGGTCTATTGCTAGATCTTCTGCTGGACTGCTGTGTGACCACAGACAAGTCACTTTATACATCTCTATGCCTCATTTCCCCACCTGTAAACTGTAGATAATGATACTACCTTTCTTTGTAAAGCAACTTGACCTAGATAGATGAAAAGTGCTTGCAAGAGCTAATTACTAGTAACTGGCCAGGGAAGGGGGAAGTTACTCAATTTTCACAAAGCAAAAATAAAAGTAAACATCTCGTAACAAAATGGCTGTTTGATATTTCCATTGTAAATCCAATACTGCATGCAAATTTATATGGATTTTATATTTAAAAATATATTCAAAATACATCTGGTGCTGCATCAAGGCAAGTCAATGATACATTAGCATTCTATTACATATTAGTCACAATAATCAGTTTATCCCTATAAAATAAGACTAGATCAGGGCTATTTGTTTCTTTGTGCTTTATTTCATTTGAGCTATTTTAAAAGTCATCCATAGTTGAAGCTGTGAAAGATCATTCATGCCCAGAGTGAAGTGGCCACAGATAGTAGTCTCAGGACTTGATTATCTGAATGATGGGTCACTGTAAAATGAAATGTGATATGATGCCTACTGTTCATTATGCATTTAACAGTTACACCGTTAAGCTACAGTTTGACTACAAAATGCAGCATCACTTATGCAGAATTTTGCTGCTAACATTTCTGCTTAGTTATGGTGCCATGTTTGCTGTTTCCTGGAAACTGTTCAATCAGATGCCAAGACTCCAGCAATATGCTGATACCCATCTGCACTTTAAGGGGAATGCTACAACCTGGCATGAGTTCCTGAGTCACAAATGCAGATGGTGGGTGTCTTGTAGGGAATGAACCTGGGAAGAGAGAGCATTCTATCACCTGAGAAATGAATCAATGACCCAGTACACAAGTTGACTAGGAAAGTAAACTTCATTTATAAAGACAGTTTAAAATATTGCTATTATATTTTCAGAAACATGCTTTTTCTTTGTATCACTAGAGCACGAAAATAATTGCCCCCTGTAGAATATATGGGAGATTTTGTCTGACTTTAAATGAGGGTTATTCACCAGTAACTGGAGTTTTTTGAGATGGACTCTGCATACTCACACTCATGGGATACACTGGTGGGGCAGCTCTGCAAGCAGTGCCCATTGTAGCACTCTTGTGCTCACTCCCGCCCCTCCCCTTATCGTTCCTAAACATTCTGAGGGGGAGGCTATAAAAGAGGGTTTAGTACTCTGGCCACCCGAGTTCCTTCCTCTGCCTCCTCAGGTCCAAGATTGTAATTAGGACTCCCGGGAAGAGGGGAAGCTAGGCAGGGAGTATGAATGTGCAGAGTCTCTCTCAAAGAACTCTGGTTATAGACGAGCAACCTTAATTTCTTCTTTGAGTGGCCTCTGCACATTCAGCGTCATGGGATACTTTGATAAATAGTACTGTCATCTGAGGAAGGTGGGACATGGAGTCCTTATTAAACGGTGACTGAAGTACCACTCTCTAAAATCCAACTGATTAGGTCTATTACATAATGTTTTGTGAACATATGAATAGAGGTCCATGTTGCAGCTCTGCAATTTCTACAGTAGAAATATGCCTAAGGCATGCCAAGGAGGCTGCCTTTACACTGTTGGAAAGGTATTCCAAGTTAGACTCGTTAGATGTCTTCAAGTCACCAGGGCCTGATGAAATACATCCTAGAATATTCCAGGAGCTGGCTGAGGAGATACCTGAGCCATTAGCGATTACAAAAGTCATGTAAGACGCAAGAGATTGCAGAGGACTGGAAAAAGGCAAATATAATGCCAATCTATAAAAAGGGAAATAAGGACAACCCAGGGAATTACAGACCAGTCAGTTTAACTTCAGTAGCCAGAAAGATAATGGAGCAAATGATGAAGCAATCAATTTGCAGACACCTAGAAGATAATAAGATGATAAGAAACAGTCAGCATGGATTTTTCAAAAATAAATCATGTCAAACCAACATAATAGCTTTCTTAGACGGAGTATGGGGAGAAGGGGTAGATGTGGTATATCTTAACTTTATTAAGGCTTTTGATACTGTCTCACATGACCGTCTCATAAACAAACTAGGGAAATAAAGCCTAGATGGAGCTTCTATAAGTTGGGTGCATCACTGGTTGGAAAACCGTTCCCAGATAGTCGTTATCAGTGGTTCACAGTCAAGCTGGAAGGGCATATCAACTGGGGTCCTACTGGGATCAGTTCTGGGTCTGGTTCTATTCAATATCTGTTCAATAAATAAAAGGGAAATCAGTGACTCTGCATCCTTAAAACTGAAAACGGGGAGACAGATCTCCCTGGTTCTAGGGGTAGGGAGCCAAACATCTGGGGATATCTGAATCTGCTCCTTGATCTTTTGTCTTTTCCCATCAGGGAAGTGGGAGTAGGAAGTGGACCTGTGGTGTTTCTTTTATTCCCCTTATCACTCCACCAAGAGGACATAGGAATCTTCATAACCTTCAGATCAGATTTGAATTGTTGATCCAAGTGATGTACCTGAACAGCTGTCATTATGGTAGACTGTGCCAGCATCAGAATCAGAAACGACTCCTCAGTCTTGTTGTATTAGGGGTATGACCTTTCTTTAGGTATTTTCCCTCTTCTGTGGCCTTAACCTTTAGCCTAAGTTCTGAGGGTGTTTTCGGAACTGACCCTGAGGGATCCAAGAGGGACCCAGAGTAGTGCTTGGCTCTGCTAGGACTGATCATATCTCGGACCAAACTCCAAACTGGAACCAGAGGTGTTGGATCCAAGAGATGCCCCACTAGGATTGGTTCTGGTAACATAAGTGGACATCTGTGAGGTTCTGCTGTATCTAGAATTAGGATCCCAATGGCTTAGGATCTTTCAATATCAAAGGTTTTGTTTTCATTCTAGGAGAGGAGCAGCGTACCTTTATCGAGATCTTGGGCTTTTTATCCCCTGAGGGGCTAAGGGCCAACACAGGCCACCTGGGACTCATGGAACAAGTGGTTATGGAACCAGAAGGTTTGGCCACAAGTGCCTCTTGCAGTCATATGGCTTGGAGCCAGCTCTGATGCTCCTTGTGAGCTCTTGGACTGAAAGTGCTGCAGATCATGCACCGGGAAGAAGAGTGTCCTTCATCGAAGCAAACCAAGTATCTTGTATGGTGTGACGGGGCAAGGCCAGATGGCTATAGGAAAGTAGTGAGACACAGGCATGTTAGCCCCAGGCTAAACAAATCCCTGTTACCATGGTAACCAAATGGCAGTTGCTCCAGGTTAATCAAGACACCTGGGGCCAATTAAGTTCCTTCCAGAAAGCAGTGGAGACAGCTAGGTTGATTGGGACACCTGAAGCCAATCAGGGGCTGGCTGAAACTAGTTAAAAGCCTCTCACTTAGTCAGGTGGGGGGCATGTGTGTCAGGAGCTGTAGAAGGGAGCCACGCTGCTGGAGAAATGGAGCAGTACAAACCTTATCAGGCACAAGAAAGGAGGCCCTGAGGTAAGGGTGACGAAGATATTGAGGAAGTGGGGGCTGCTGTGGGGAAGTGGCGCAGGGAATTGTACTTGTCCTGTTTCCAAAAAGTCAGTTACCAAAAGCTGCTACTATCCAGGTCCTGGGCTGGAGCCCAGAGTAGAGGGCGGGCCCAGGGTCCCCTCTCCTCTCCCCGACTTATTACTAAGACTGGGAGACAACAGAGACTGTGAGAGGGAGGAGAGCTTCTCCTCACCTCCCTTGCTGGCTTATGATGAAAATGGCTCAGTAGGCTGTGACCCTTGCCTCTAGAGAGAGAAGGGCTATGTGGAGGGTCACAGTGAGTCTCTGAGGCTAGCGTAATCCGCCAAGAAGCACGGGACCCACTGAGTCAAGGTCAGAGCATTGTCACAATGGGCATCCAAAGTGGAAATACAGCAGGATAAGAGGCACACCTCTTAACTCCTGGCCACTTCCTCTTCGGATCTGCCACAGGATCTTTAAGCCCACCCAGAGATGTGGGAACTAATAAAAATGAATAAAAGAAAATCTTTCTTAAAGAAAATATGCAAGCTAAAGTTTCAAACCCTATTCCTACCTAACTATGAAATCTAACTAAGGTACTGGGTCTTTGAAAAGATTGGATCAGCCTGGAGGGGTTCCTGGTCCATTTGGAAGGATCTAAGGCAGCCAGAGCTCCACACCCCCTTGTACAGCCTTGCCCTCAGAATGTTAAGAAACAGTGAGGGAAGGGACCGAAGGGGGCAAGAGAGTGCCACAATGGGCACTGCTTTGAAACATTCCATCGCTGGAGCTGCACAGCCCATGCATCCCATGACTGGGAATATGCAGAGGCCACCCAAAGAAGAATGTTAATTTCTATCTCTGTTTTCTAGTCACAGGAATGGGCCAAAAAAAACAAATTTCCTAAATCCAGCAGAGCTGCGCTCCCAATCCCTCAGAAAAATCTCTGTAGGATTTGGGGCACTTTCCAGCGGCTCCCACCCCCGACCCTGACAACCACCATCTCTTTGAAAACCTGAGAAAGGAGAGAGGGAGCACCTGACCTCTCAGACACTGGAACAGGTTCTGTCCCTCATGAAGCCATCTGAGGTTAAGAGGGTCCTAGTTTTGTGGTGGGGGTGTCACTGTGTGTACAGATTCAACCTAGGACTACAATCTGCAATTCATAAATTGAGTAGAACCTCGTCTTACCCACAAGGGTTGCAAGGCCCTAACTAAAAGCCTTAATACTACTACCCAAGTACAAATGCCCCACAGGTTAACACAACATCTAGAATAAGTTGTTTAGAAATATCTTTTTGCATTATTGGTAGTATATATTTAATAGTGGGAACATTTTGACAAGTCCAGATCATAATTAGCCTAGTCATACCTCAGTTTAAGTCAACATGCAGTTTTTCTCTTAGTTTTTCACCAACACACTCTAGAATTGGAAATACTTGTTTGCTCTTGATTATTGGTTGCTCACACATGGGAACGTCACCCTCATACTCTGTTAGCATGGGTTGTTGCAGAGCAGCTGTGACTGAGCTTTCTAGGAAGCCCCTGGATTTTGAAGGATCAATATCCATAAGTAAGGAATGATCAGGTGTCAGCCACATTGCATCAGCAATTACTTCAGAGTTCCTAGGTAGTTCAAATGGCATTACAAATCTTGTTGGAAAATCCCTCTTCTCTTTACTGATTGTATCCCCTGGCATTTTAAAATCGATTACTGTTTCCATGGAAACATCACCATGGGTTTCTGTTGCTGGGGAGACCCAGTTTGAAGATGTATGGAGGAACTCTTGGTCTTCCGAAGGGAAGATGTCTTCCAAAGCTACCATCTCTGGTATTTCGTGTGTCAGCCAACGGTTAACTCTTCTACAATTTATGTTGTTAATGAAATTCAAACTACAATCTGACTGAGTTGACATGTCTTCTGAATAACCACGATACGGATCTAAAAACTGTAACAACAAAATAGCTCTAAGTAAATGAGACAAATACTGTATTATCACTTCCACTACAAATATGAAGAACTGATAAGCTCTTTTGTAAATAAACATCAGTTATTTCAGTCAGTAGTGGAACAATAGCTAGCGTTACAATATTAATGCAGGCTTCCCTTAAAATCTCTGGTGTTGTTTGCCATCAGTACCAGCAGAAGCAGACCCAAGGATGCAGTAAGTTATTTTGGCAAGGGTGATTATATGCCCAGTGACATTTTGGTGTGAAAGTACTGTCACCATAGCGGTTTCAGTACCACAAATGCTGGACTTCTGATCACATGATTTTAACTATAACTAGCACTTACTTGACAGCGAGCAAGCCTGTGAACAGTCCTCTACAACCCTCTACAGAAAATGGCAGTGAAGAAAAGACTACAATAGGTGTGCGTGCTCGCCATGTGCACCGGTGCCGGAAGTTTTTCCCCTAGCAGTACCCATGGGGGGGAGCGCCGCCCGCGGCCCCTCGAGTGGTGCCTGCCTGGCATGGTATAAGGGGAGCTGCATGCTCCCCCCACCCTCAGTTCCTTCTTGCCAGACAACTCCGACAGAGGGGAAGGAGGGTGGGATGTGGAATAGGCATGACCAACACATCTCGAAGAACACCAGATATGGAAAAGGTAACTGTCATCTTCTTCGAGTGATTGCTTATGTGTATTCCACAATAGGTGAGTCCAAGCTATATCTGTTGGAGGTGGGTAGGAGTTCACAAGTTCCCAGGACGGAGGACCGCCCTGACAAACCCAGCGTCATCCCTGGTTTGGGGAACGATTGCCTAGTGCGAGGTGAACATGTGAACCGAAGACCACGTGGTGGCCCTATAAAATGTCCTGGATGGGGACGTAGGCCACAAGGGCAGCTGACGAGGCCTGTGCCCGAGTCGAGTGTGCCCTCACAATGGGTGGCAGGGGAACACCTGCCAGCTCGTAACAGGAGCAGATGCACGAAGTGATCCAATTGGAAAGCTGCCAAGTGGATATCGGCTGGCCCCCTCGCGCGCTCAGCCAAGGTGACGAACAGTTGCGAGGACTTTCTGAATGGCTTGGTCTGCTTGAGGTAGAAAGCCAGAGCTCGCTCCACATCGAGCATGTGGAGACGGCACTCCTCACTGGACGCATGAGGCTTGGGGCAGAGGACTGGTAGAAAAATGTCCTGACCCATGTGGTAGGCGGAGACCACCTTCAGGAGGAATGCAGGGTGTGGGCAGAGCTGGACCTTGTCCTTCTGAAAGACCGTGTGTGGCAGCTTGGAGGTCAGGGCCCTGAGCTCTGAGACTTGTCTGGCCCACGTGATTGCAACCAGGAAGGCCACCTTCCACGAGAGGTGAGACCAGGAGCACGTGGCCACTGGTTCAAACGGGGGCCCCGTGAGACAAGCCAACACCAGGTTTAGGTCCCACTGCGGGACCGGTGGTCTAGAATATGGAAAAAGACGATCGAAACCCTTAAGGAACCAACCAGTCATAGCATGGGAAATACCGTGTGACCTTGCACCGGCGGATGGAAGGCCGATATGGCTGCCACGTGCACCTTGACTGATGAGGGCGCCAGGCCCTGGGCCTTCAGGTGGAGGAGGTAATCAAGGATAAGTGGATCAGGGTGGCAACCGGGGAGACACCCTGGTCTGCCTCCCACCAAGAGAACCGGGACCACTTTGCCAAATAAGCGCGGTGAGTGGAGGGCCGTCTACTTTCGAGGAGGACGTGCTGAACCCGTTCTGAGCACATTCATTCCTCTCCGCCTAACCGCTGAGCAGCCACGCCGTGAGGTGGAGTGCTCCTGAGAAAGCTGGTCCGGGTGGAGCGGCAACGGCAATGGCGGAGCTACTGCCAGGCCCGTGAGGATCCCATACCAGTGATGCCTGGGCCACGCCATGGCAATCAGGAGGACCCGGGCCTTGTCCATCTTCATCTTCTCCAGGACCCTGCTGATTAGAGGGAACGGGGAAAAGGCATAGAGAAGCCAGCCTGACCAGGACAGGAGAAAGACATCAGAGATAGTGCCCCTCCCCAGGCCCCCCTGGAGCAGAACTGGGGGCATCGCCGGTTCTGCCGTGTCGCCAATAGGTCCACCTGGGGAGTTCCCCACTTTCGGAAGAGCCAGTGGGCCACTTCCAGGTGGAGGGACCACTCGTGTTGCAAGGAAAAGTCCCTGCTCAAGTGATCCGCCCTCTCCTTCCGGGCGCCCAGTAGGTGGAAGGCTTTCAGGTGGATGTCGTGGGCTATACAGAAGTCCCACAGCCTGAGGGCTTTGTGGCAGAGGATCAGGACCCACCTTGCTTGTCGATATAGAACATCGAGGCCATGTTGTCCGTAAGGACCCTGACTACCTTGCCCTCCAGGTGCGAGTGGAAGGCCATGCATGCCAGCCACACCATCCTGAGCTCCATGACATTTATATGTAGGGTCAGGTGGTAAGCCAACCACAGGCCTTGGGTCTGAAAGTTCCCCACATGGGACCCTCCAACCCAGGTCCGATGCATCGGACACCAGCTCCAACGACAGGGCGCTGTCCCTGAACGGGACCCCTTGGAGCATGTTGTTTGGGGCGGACCACCACGATAGGGAGGTGATCACAGAGTCCGGCAAGGTGAGGACCTTGTTCATCCTGTCCATGGCCTGGGAGAACTTAGAGGCCAACCAGAGCTGGAGGGGCCTCCTCCTGAGTCTGGCATGACGGTCCACATATGTGCATGCCAACATGTGACCCAAGAGTTGCAGGCAAACCCTGGCTGTTGTCACCAGGAATCTTGTGACCGAGTTGATGAGACCTTTCAGGATCTCAAATCTGTCTGGCGGGAGAGAGGCCCTGGCAGACACTGCATCCAGGAGCACCCCGATAAACTCTATGCATTGGACCGGGACTAACATGGACTTGGTGTTGTTTACCAAAAGGCCCAGGGCGGTGCACATGGACAGGAGGAGTGCCACGTGATCCCTCCCCTGCAACCAGGAGGTGCCCTTGACAATCCAATCGTCCAGATAGGGAAATATCTGGAACCCCCCACCGTCTGAGGTAGGCTGCTACCACCAACATGCATTTTGTAAACACCCAGGGGGTAGTGGACAGACCAAACGGGAGGACAGTGAATTGGTAATGATTCTGTCCCACCGCGAAACAGAGGAAGCACCTATGCCCCTCGAATATGTGAATGTGGAAGTACGCGTCCTGTAGATCAAGGGCAGCATGCCAGTCCCCGGGATCCAAGGAGGGGATGATGGAGGCCAGGGAGACCATGCGGAACTTCAGTTTCACCATGTACTGGTTCAGACCTCGCAGGTCCAGGATGGGCCTGAGCCCCCCTTTGACCTTCGGGATAAGGAAATAACGGGAGTAATACCCCTTGCCCATGAACTCCTCGAGCACCACCTCTATCGCTCCTAGTCCTAGCAGCCGTCCAACCTCCTGCTTGAGCAGAGCTTTGTGCGAGGGGTCCCCCAAGAGGGACAGGGGTAGGGGGTGGTTGGGCGGGCAGGAAGTAAACTGGAGGGTGTAACCCCAGGAGATGGTGTTGAGGACCCATGGGTCCAAGGTTAGCCGCCACCATTCCAGGAGGAAAGCACACAACCGGTTGGAAAAGGGTAGTTTTATTGGATCCCGGGTGAGGACTGGCAGGGTGCCCCCAAGTGTCCCGTCAAAAACACCTTTTCCCCACTTGCTTGCACTTGGAGGATCCAGGCTGGGGGTCAGGGTGTCTCTTATATTCCTGCTGCTTCTTATAGGCGGCCTCATACTTCGGGAGGGTGGCCTGGGCAGGGAGTCTGCTGAGGCTTGAACTTAGGTTTTGCCGGAGCCGGGACATAGAGGCCCAGAGTCTGGAGGGTCTTGTGGGAGTCTTTCATGCCATGCATTCTTGTATCTGTTTCCTCCACAAACAGAGCTTTCCCGTCAAACAGGAGATCCTGCATGGAAGACTGTGCCTTGCTGGACAGCCCAGAGAGCAGGAGCCATGGCGCCGTCTCATGGACACTGCGGAGGCCATGGATCGTGCAGCCATATCCGCAGCATCTGAAGCTGCCTGCAGGGATGCCCTAGCGGCCGCTGCCCCTTCCTCCACTAGCACCTTGAATTCCTTCCTATCGTGCTCCTGGAGGGAGTCCTCAAACTTGGGCAGGGAGTCCCGCAGATTGAATTCATACCGGCCCAGGAGAGCCTGATGGTTTGCCACTCGTAACTGGAAGCTCGAAGACGAATATATTTTCCTTCCAAAAGAGTCCAGTCTCCGAGAGTCTTTGTTCTTTGCGGTCAGGGGCTGGCTGACCCTGCTGTTCCCTGTGGTTGACTGACTCGATCACCAGGGAGTTGAGCACCGGGTGGGTATACAAGTACTCATGTCCTTTAGTGGGTACAAAGTACTTGTGTTCCGCCTTTTTAGAGATGGGGACCAACGAGGCCGGTGTTTGCCACAGAGCATTTGAAATCTTAGCCACCCCTTCATGGAGAGGCAAGGCCACCCTACCCGGTGCTGATGGGGACAACACATTAAACAGGGAGTCTGAAGGCTCCTCCATCTCCTCTGCTTGGAGGTGGAGGCTTGCTGCCACCGTCTTTAAAAGTTCTTGGTGGGCCCTGAAGTCCTTCTGCGGGGCAGAGGGGGGTGGGGTGAGGAGGCCGATGCGGTGCTCTGGGTGTCATCCGGCACTGGAGGGTCCACCACCTGGTCAGACTCTGGGCACAGTGCTGAGGACGCACGTCCCACCGACTCCTTTCTCAGGGGTCTGGAGAGGGAGGCCAATGGTGATTCCGAAACTCTGGCCATTGAGCGAGCTCCCCTCAGGGGCTGTGCCGGAGGCCACGGTGCCCACTGGTACCATTGGGCCATCCACAATCCTCGGTGTCGCTGCACCTGCTGTGGCACTGGCGGTGCCGGCTGTTCGGGTTGGCTGGCCTGGCCCATCGGAGGATGGCTACGAATGGAGACTGGGCTGGCATAAGATGTGCTGCTGTCTCTGGACCGGAAGGAGCAGTGGTGCCGGGATCTACGATGGCCACAGGACCACGATCTCGACGTGGAGGATCAGTACCGATGGTAACAACCGCTCCGCGAACCGCCTCAACGGGCGGACCCGCGACGGCGAGACAACAGCAATCGACGCCCGGGGCTGCGATGTCTTGGCGGAGACTTGGAGCGGGAGTTGAAGCGGGAATAGCAGCGACGACCGTGCCGTGACCAACTCCGAGATGAGGATCGTTGGCCACACCCGCTGTGGCCCCGTCGATATTCACTCCTTGAGGACAAGCGGTGCCGAGAGTCCCGTCTGGATGGAACCCAGCCAGATAGGTTGGTCGGCGTCAAGGGTGATCTACATGGACTCTTCCCAAGTAGTCGCTGGGCGGTGAATGGCGTCAGGAACATTCCCTCGACCAAGACCAGTACCGGGCCGGAGGCGACTGCGGAGATCCCAGCGGCGGCTTGCCTCTGGAGCGTGGGGCTGACATTGGTGGCGCTCCAGGCACTGGCATGGACATAACGTCCCAGGCCGTCTGGAGGGCTTCAGGTGCAGATGGCATCCGGACATCTGGAGAGGCCTGTTCTGAAGGGGCCGGGCTACTCCACTCAACGTGAGTCAGAGGCCTGGGGCCCGGTGGGGATCAAGGACTGCCCGACATGGGCCTAGCCTCTGTCCCAGACTTCCCTCGGTGCCACTGTGAAGAGGGAGTCTTCCTGGCCCTCTTTGGCGTGCCCCCTGGATGGGAAGCGATGCTGACTGGTCGATGGCACTGGAGGGTCGCCGCATACCGATGCCGCGGTGCTGGGTACCGGTTTGGAGCGGCGTGCTGGAGTCGGGGTCAGTGCCGACTCCATCAGGACGGCTCGGAGCCTAATGTCCCTTTCTTTTTTGGTCCGAAGCTTAAATGACTTACAAATCTTTCACCTTTCACTGATATGGGTTTCTCCCAAACAGCGCAAACAGTTTGCGGGCGGGTCACTTCTTGGCATAGAAAGCCTACAAGAACCACACGATATAAACCCCAGGGCACGGGGCATGCCCCAGCCCAGGCTCACTGACTAAACTGCTAACTAACTACAGGTACTAACACTGAACGAACGAACAGTTCTGGGGACGAGCTACAGCAAAGCTCGAGCAGAGCAGTTCCGACGCACCTTCACTGGCGGCAAGAAGGAACTGAGGGTCGGGGGAGCATGGAGCTCCCCTTATACTGCGCCAGGCAGGCGCCACTGCAGGGGTCGCAGGGGGTGCTCCCCCCTTCACTCCCCCCACGGGTACTGCTAGGGGAAAAACTTCCGGCACCAGTGCACATGACGAGCACACACACCTATTGTGGAATACACATGAGCAATCACTAGAAGAAGAACAGATAGTTAAAATACTTGGAAAGAAAACCTTCCCTGTAACAGAGGAAGGGTTTCTTTTGTTTCGTTTTTGTTTGTTTGAAACAGCTGTTATACAGCATATTTAGAGTATGTTCCTAATATGGAAGAGTAGCTTGGTAAGGAACTTGAAATCTGTTTAAGGCTTTTTATAAACTACAAGTAAAAAGGGTGGGGTGGGGGGGAAATCATGTCATGAAATATACATGTACACTGCTCTTTTATACTCTAAAGTGCTTTAGAATAGTTCGCCCTCTGAATATCTTGTCAGGTAGAACAACAGCAGCTAGTTTTGGAAGAGAATCTTGTGCAAGGAATGACTAGTACTGTTCAGAGAAGAGTTACTACAAAACATTCTCATCTCCCTCCAGTCCGCCCACACCCATCTCTCTCTCTTCCCCATCACCAAAACAATAAAGCACAATTGGGGCACCTTATGACGAAGTAGTGTGCCTCTCTGTCTCATCTTCATGCCACCGTTGGTGCTAAGGACACTGAATGCTTCCTTGATGCAGTTATGTCTGTTCCACATTTGATCAGCCATGGTTCAGAGGGGAGGATTTTTCACTGGGATTTCTTAATACTTAATTTAAAAAATGTAAATATTTAAAAAATATATATAAACCACAAGGCAGTTTTATAATATATCATAAGTTCAACAAACAGCCAACAGCCTCTCCTTGCATGAGAGTTTGTGTTTGGTTTGGCTGCCACCAAACTAACTTAGCATTGTCTGTCCCAAACTGTCCATGCCACAATAATGAGAGGTCATTGAGAGAATGCAATACACACTGACATTCACTATCAATATATAACCCCATAAGAGTGTTGTAGACAATAGACTCCTGTCATATGGTAAGAGTATCACCTTTTGTAACCCTGAACCACATCATGTGACAATGGCCAAGATATAGAAGATCAGTTTCTCCTTAGTACCCCTATATATCACAACTTTATCGTATGAGTTGAGAAGGGGGATATATGTGATAGCCATTCCCCTATGACTCTTCTAGATAAAAGTTTAAACAATTGGGGTTTTTTTTAACATCAGAATATTTAAACAAGGCTGCTAAATAATCAAATTGCAGAAATGTACAAACTACTTGAAGTTTCATGTCACTTGGTTTCTCTACAGGTCCTTCAGTATTAGGCCATCCCTGGTTTAAGAAAGTATGTCCATCAGAAATATGCACAAGAACATCTGTAATTATGTATTTGCCACAAGATCTCTGTAAACATTTCTATGTGACAATTAAAGACCTCCAAATGCAGTTAGAAGCCAATATAAAGGAACATGTCTCAATTCAGTTTAAGTGCGCTGAAAAGCTCTGTGACAGTGTTGCCAAACGAAAAAGCAACAGTCATGGTTTACTTTTATGTAGTATTGATATAGTACCCATCACCATGATATCTGAATGCTTATTGTACTGAACATTTTTTAACACTTCTTGCATCTTTCCCTGGCCAGATTTTTGGGTGTTCTGCATGAAGAAAGGAAGGTTTCAATAGCATCTCACATCCACTTAGGCAACAACACCTAGCTACAAAATACACAGTGACAAAGGGAAACTAATTTCTAGCTTTTCATCTTATCTCCATGGTAAACAGCTCAAGTATAAGAATAAATACTGCTGTCACTTTTAAGAGAGTAAGACTTTACTTGAGCCAGTCATTTATACCCATTCTCCCAAATGCTAGCAATCAATTGAATGTTGAAAAGCTGTTTACAGCTGTATGCTGTAAATTACATAATTCCAGTATGCATTTTAGTTATGACCTGTCCAGCCCCAATAGTAAATGTATATAAAATATTTTCCAAAAGAGAGGCTCTCCGTCTATAAATAGTGCAACTGCTCACCAGTGCTTTTTATAGTTTTCTAGGTCCATTATACATGTTAATGCTATGAATATCACTCTCCCTTAGTTACCTTAGAGAACATGGTATATATATAGGTACTTTTATGGTCCACATTACCATAGAGTTTGTGTATTTCCCAAAATAGCATATAGAAAAAACAGCTAGATTCATTTATAGGTCTGGGAGTTGTTTTTTGTTTGTTCCGGTTTTTTTGTTTATGTTTTGTGTGCAGGAACAGGTGTATTGTGTGTCTTTGTCAAAAGTAAAAATAATGCAGACAGAAGTCCAGGAGCAAAGTGGGAGCTATCCAGTTATTGCACTGAATACAGCACATATGATTACCTGCCTTGTGGGCAGGTGGTGTATGCGTGCATTTGATGCAAGCAACTCATGGCCCTTAGAGAGACAGTATAGACTCTTGAGGCCAGAGTTGCTGAACTGGAGGAGCTAAAGGAAACAGAGAGGTATATAAAGGAGACTTTCAGGGACACAATAGAGCAGTCCCACCCCCCAGTCTGCCAGCCTCTGTGTTGTTAAGGAGTATGAAAGTCTCAGGGTAGAAGAACATCAAGCTGGAGCAGAGGGACACAACCCCATAGTTGGGACCCTCCTTCCAGATGATGTCGTGTTCTGGTCACCTCAAAAAAGATATATGAGAATTGGAAAAGGTGCAGAGGAGGGCAACAAAAATTATTAGGGGTACGGAAGAGCTGCCATATGAGGAGAGATTAAAAAGACTGGGGCTGTTCATCTTAGAAAGAGACAACTAAGGGAGGCTATGACAGAGGTCTATAAAATCATGAATGATATGGAGAGTGTTATTTACCCCTTCGTGTAACACAAGAAGGAGGGGACATCCGATTAAATTAACAGGCCTCCGGTTTAAAACAAACAAAAGGAAGTACTTCTTCACCTAATGCACAGTCAACCTGTAGAACTTGTTGCCAGGAGATGTTGTGAAGGCCAAAATTCTATCTGGATTCAAAAAAGAATTAGATAAATTAATGGAGGGTAGGAACATCAATGGCTATTAGTCAAGCTAGTTAGGGATGCAACCTCATGTTCCGGGTGTCCCTAAACCTCCAACTGCCAGAAGCTGGGATTGGGTGACAGATGGATCACTCGAATTTGCCCTATTCTGTTCATGCCCTCTGAAGCATCTGGCACTGGACACTGTCAGAGACAGAATATTGGGCTAGGTGGATCATTGTTATGACCCAGTATGGCCTTTCTTATGTATCTGGGAAGAACTTAAGAAGGGAAAGTGAAGTTCAATAAATTAGTTTGGCATCTAGTTCTGAAAGTGGTGCTCTGTAGTAATTCTTATCTTTTGCAGGAGTACATTCCATAGTCTACGTTCAGCTACTGTGAAGGTTTTAATCTGCACTCATGGGCCACCACCTACTGCTCAACATTTTTACTATTCCAAGGGAACATAGCTGGTTTCTTCCCCTCTTCTCATGCTTCACATCTGAACCAGCTTTCATGGAGGTAAAGGCATAAGTCATCAGTTCACCAGTAAAGAAAACTAGAAATAGATGTCTTCAGCATTTTCCAATTCACTGTTGTGAGTTTTAAATCTCAACACACTAGAGGATACATTTTAGGAGTATTTTTTGAGAGAGAGAGAGAGAGAGAGAGAGAGAGAGAGAGTCAATGATTTTAAAAGATTTTACCATGTATTCATGTGTTAGTCTCGCTACAAAGTCTGGATTTTTAGTGGACTCCATTAGATCACAAGAGTATAATACACAGGAGGGGGAAAAGGAGTTTTGTTAGAGAAGCCCTCCTAACAAATTAAATATCCAAACACTGTAATTCCTTTAATGCCAGCCTAACACGTTCATCTTCCACTTACTTTAAGCCTTTTATTAATGACGTATTTAAAAGGTTTGATTTCCAGAGCTAAAAAGCAGAGAACATCCTCAAATCCCACACACTTTTATTCTCCAGAAATGAGATGATAATATCACCTCCCCGTCCTTTTACCTGTGCCACTTCTCTCTTCCTGAGCCTAAAACACCCCATGCAACTGATGCCTGGGAGAGCTCACTACTCACTACATCCCCAGAGGTGGGGCTGTTACATCCCTATTGCAGACATTGCATCCCAGCACCATCCATAGCTGCCCACCCCAAAACTGTGGTACCAGTGCCACTATCACCCAGCCCCACCTGATCCCTGAAACTTGTATCCTATCTACCATGGCCTCAAAGAGTTCCTGCTTTATTGGTACAGTTTCTCTACCTGCCAGCCTGCTCCACTCCACGGTTTCTTATCTCTTCCCTCAGCCCCTTCCCCTCACCCCTCTTCCCTCGTTTCAGAAGGCAATTAGCAAAACAGGCATAATGTTTGATTTCAAGAGATATGTCATGACAATTCACAGATGCTCTGAGTCTCTTGTTCTGATGGCATTTTATCTGGCTTCTTAGCTTACTGTTTTTTATAAGTTAAAAAATAGTTTCAGCTTCTGTGTTATAATAAGCCTTGTGAATACGCTTCATCCAATTTTTGTAAATGACCACTTCAGTCAATGAGAGAATTTGGAGAAATTATCTAAGAAACGGTCTGAAATAAATCAAGCATTCAAATACCTTCATTTTAAACATTTGAGCATCACCAAGACGGAAACGTTTGCATGCATAATCCTACCTTTCAATCATTATTTCCATCCAAATTCCCAAAACTGCTAGTTAATGCAGATGCACACAGGATCTTTTTGCTGTATAAACTATCTTCTTAGTCATCAAAAGCCAAAGTCATCTGTTTTGATGTCAGATTTATTACTGTGGCAATAGACTGTGATGTCACAGATGATACTGTGACATCACTGTTTGTACAAATAGGATATCTTGACTGTGAAGGGAAGAAGATTTTGATATATTCAGCTACAGAACACCTTAAGCAGTGTCAGTGATCTAATTAAACCTACATACAGGATATTCAAATATAAGATTAAAATTCTGTGTTTAATTGTTAGGCAAAAATTAGTGAGATTAAATCTCTTGGATTAACATAACTGTTCATACAGTCTTCAAACAGCAAAAAAAAAAAATAGTTATCTTTTCCGTAACTGGTGTTCTTCGAGATGTGTTGCTCATGTCTATTCCACAATAGGTGTGCATGCTCACCACGTGCACCGGTGTCAGAAGTTTTTCCCCTAGCAGTACCCGCAGAGGAGTGCCCCTAGCGACCCCTGGAGTGATGCCTCCATGGTGCGGTATAAGGGGTGCTGCGCGCTCCCCACTCCCTCCGTTCCTTCTTGCCAGACAACTCCAACAGAGGGGAAGGAGGGCGCCCTCCAGATCCCTGGAGACATCCTGCTCGGTACCATGCTCCTTGACGACGAACGCAGGTGGTGGGGCACGGGATCTGGATGCAACTGTGTGGCCCACACCCATGTCGTCTCAGCACCTTGAGGGGTGGGACAACATGTGGCTGCCGGGGGCACGCATGGTTGTGATACCACCGAGTGGGAGTCCCTAGAGTGAGTGCCCTGGACTTGGTGGTAGGCCCCCGGTGTCCAGAAGGGCCATTGCGCGGGCCCCTGCCACTGCGCCTGCTGTGCCGTGAATAGTGGGACTCTGCCTCCGAGTCCAATGATGTGGGCCTGGAGCGGTGGGTCTGGAGCAGTGGGTATCAAAGGCAGGGGAAGGCTCAGCCTACCCAAAGTGCCTGTGTGTCCCCACCCACACTCCACCCCCAGACCCCCTCCTGCTTCCTGCCGCGGCTCTTCTATTGTTCGGGACATGGCTGCCTGGACACAGTGGTCACCCTTCCTGTGTCCTTGAGTGCTTCCACTGGTGGCTCAACCTGCAGGTGTGCGAGGGAGTCCCCTTCGACAAACCCCAGCCCTCTCTGTTTCTGGTAACGGATGCGTCAGTGATGGGATGGGGCGGTCACCTGGAAGAACTACAGCCGCAAGGCCTCTGGTCGCAGGTCAAGCTCTCACTCCACATCAACATCAAGGAGTTGAGGGCAGTCCGATGAGCATGCCAAACCTTCCAAGCCCAATTGCAAGGGAAGTGTGTGGGGGTCATGACAGACAACGCAGCTGTGCTGTTTTACATAAACAAGCAGGGTGGGGCTCATTCCTCTCCCCTATGTTGGAAAGCCCTCAAGCTGTGGGACCCCAAAGCCCACTCTATTCACTTGGAAACATCTTACCTCTCAGGTTGCCAGAACAAGCTGACGGACTACCTCAGCAGTTCCTTCCACAACCATGAGTGGTCCATCCACCCGGACATGATACACAGGGTTTTCCAGAGGTGGGGAGTTCCCCAGATCGACCTGTTTGCCACACGCAACAGAAAATGCCCATGATTCTGCTCCTTCCGGAATCACAGTCCAGGCTCGCTTGCAGACGTGTTTCT